GCTGAGAACATATATGTTGATGTGCTTGATTGAGCCAATGCACAGTGTATTTTGGATGGAAAATTCATATGTGTGTTGTGATGAGAAAAAAAAATTTATAATAAAAAACAAAGTATAAAAAAAAAAAAAAGAAGTAACTATTCATCTGTATCTCCTTACACAACACAATAAAATTTTCTGTTTTAAAAAAAAAAAAATTGCTAGAGGCCACGTGTGCTTGTTAGAAAGAGAAAGAGAGAGAAAAAGTGAGAAAGCTCTCCCAACTCCCAGGGGAGATGGCCATGCCACAATCCTTTCTTTTCCAGCCTCCTCTCAGGATTTTGGGCGCATACACACACACACACAGACACACACACACACACACACACACACACGTCTGCTGTGTTTTTCATGCTGCCAGGTCTGGGACTTGAACTGTACAGCTGGCCATGTGGGATCTAGTTGCCCTAACTACGTCACTGACTGGACCCATTCTTGTATACGCATTTGTGTGGACATGTTTTACTCTTGGGTATGTACCTGAAAGTGGAATTAACTGCCAGATCAAATGGTTCCTATATTCAATCACTTGAGGACCTTCCAGGCTGTTTCCCACAGCAGCTGCACCATTTACAGCCCCCGCAGTGTTCACGGGTTCTGCTTTCCCCACATCCTCGACGACACCCGTTACTACCAGATTCTGGCACTGAGCATTCTGGTGAGCGTGGTGGGGTAGCCCACTGTGGTTTTGACTTGGGTTTCTCTGAAGGCGATTGGTGTCCAGCATCTTCTCAGGTCCTCGTATTTAGAAACCAGCTCCTCCCTCTCTAGCGCTGCTGTTAGGGGGCCTGTGTCCCCCACTTGGCTGAGTGTCTCCAGGGAAGGGACCACTGCAGATGATGTATCTGCAGATGTTTGTTGAATTGAATTAAAGAGGGTCAGAACTGAGAGGAGGCAGAGGCCACATCTCTGAGAACTGCTTCTTGGAGGGGTTGAGGTCGAGCCTGGTCATAGTGAATGGGCTGGAACATGGGGGGCATGGGGCCATGGGTGGCACATAGGGTGGGGGGCCAGTATGAGCAAAGGCCTGAGGGCCACCGCAGAGCCTGGTCTGCAAGGACCAGAGGAGCGGAGAAGGGGAACTGTAGGAGGTGAGGCTGAAGAGGTTGCTCAGGAGAGGCCAGCATGCCGAGCCCAGGATTTGGACTGCATCCAGGGGGCACTGGGAGCCCGAGAGGTATTCACAGATCTGTGCTTTATGAAGACGGAAGATCTGTCAGGGGCAGTGGTTGAACACGGAGCACCACTGGGAAGCTGTTAGTGGCGTCCAGGTGAGTGAGTGGTAGCATAGGGGTAGGAGAGGCACTGATGGGACCAACCCTCTAAAGGAAGGGCCACCCAATTCAGAGACGTGGGTCTCGAAGGCCAGGTCGGGAGCTGGTGGACGGTCAGATCCCACACAGGCCTTGGCGCTGTGGAACGAGTCGAAGTCAGAGAGAAGGCTGGCGATGCTGAGGACGGTCACAGCAAAAGGATGCCATGTCCAGGACTGGGGCTGGGGCTGCTGAGCCAGGGAAGGATGAAGCCAGAATGGCTGTGAATGGAGTGAGCTAGTGTCGGGCCCACGAAGCTTTACTACATATCCTGCCTATTCTTGCACATCTGAAATTTTCCACTGAAAAAAGGATGCTTGGTAAGTGGCTGTTATGTGCGCTGTGATGTGGAGGGGGAACGTCAGGGTACTGAGCAGTTTCGGGCCTAGACACCTAGAAGAGGAGGCAGCTGTGAGGCCTGGCTGCCCCTCAGGGCCACGCAGCAAAGCCCCGAGCAGCGAGCAAGCCCAGAGCGCCTGGGAGCCCACGTAGGGGCTCGGTCTGCTTCTGCTTCCCCTGAAACTCTGAGGGAAGTTACGAGAGGACATGGTTGAGGAGGTCCACAGCCCCAAGCTTCGCTGGCAAAGGCTGAGCCGGCTCCTTTCTGTCCTTCTAGAACGTCACTGCTAACCACCGGGCCAACGACGTGATCGCCGCGGAGGACGGTCCCCAGGTGCTGGTGGGACGGTTCATGTACGGGCCTCTCGACATGGTGGCACTGACTGGAGAGAAGGTACCAAGGGCTGGGCATCCCTCAGCCAGCGCACCTGCACCGGGCGCCTGGTGGCACCCGTGGGGTAGAGTTCCAGAAGGGCTGGGGAGCCTGTCGCCTGTCCCAGGGGACACAGAGCAGGGGGTCACTCCCTCTTCCTGGGCAGGTCAGGGAGGATGGAGGAGTGAAGGGTAAACGTGGGGGCTGGCAGGTGGTGTGGTGGTTAAGGCGTTGGACTCCCACATGGTTGGCCACGGTTTGAGTCCTGGACCTGGTGGCTTGCCTTCTCACTTTCTATCTCTCTATCTCTCTGCCCCTTTCTGGCCAAATTAAAATAAATAAATAAATAGAATAAGGTTAAATAAAATAATTCTTTTAGAAAAAAAAAGAGGATAAGCAGGGACCAGCAGGTGGCATGGTGGTTAAGGGCACTGAACTCCCACATGGCTGACCATGGTTTGAGTCCTGGACCTGGTGGCTTACTTCCCACCCCCCCAACCCCCACCCCATCCTTCTCTAGTCAAATTAAAATAAATAAACAAAGTTAAAATAAAAAAAAAAAAGGTGAGTGTGGCATCTCTGAGGAGGATGAGCTGCTGTTGTGGTCGCAGTGGGAGAGGCAGGGAGGGTGGCAGGCACTGAGTCCCAGGTGGGACCCAAGCCGGGGGCCTGCGGTCCTGGCAGAGCTCCCAGCCCAGCCCTCTGCCAAGTCCGCAGCCCCCCAGCCTTCCACGAGTTCCCGCTCCTTCGCCGCCTGCAGGTGGACATCCTGGTGATGGCAGAGCCGTCCTCCGGCCGCTGGGTGCACCTGGACACGGAGATCACCAACAGCAGCGGCCGAATCACATACAACGTGCCGCGGCCCCGGCGCTTGGGCGTTGGCGTCTACCCTGTGAAAATGGTCGTCAGGTAAGACCGTTCTCAGGGCAGTTTCTCCTCTTTCCGCGGCCCTCCCAGCCTGCCCCTAAGGCAGGGTCCCCGGACTCAGGGCCCATCTGTCTGCGCCGAGAGAGGGAAATGCACGCGGTCACCAGCGTGGCTCCCGGGGTCGCCGCCCAGATGTCTCCGTCCCGGGCCCCAGACCGAACTCGGGTTCCAGCCGCAGGCTGATGCAGGCCGGGACCTTTCAGGGGTGACCAGACCTGCGCGATGAGCTACCTCACGGTGCTGCCGCGGGGCATGGAGTGCGTCGTGTTCAGCATCGACGGGTCCTTTGCCGCCAGCGTGTCCATCATGGGAAGCGACCCCAAAGTCCGGCCGGGTGCGGTGGACGTTGTCCGGTGAGTGCACCCTTCCGGGGAGGATCTGTACCCCGCTCCGTTCCCCCTCCCAGGCGGGACCACTGCCCTAGGGGAAAGGCACTGCCTTCTCCTCGTTGCTTTGGTTTGCTCCAGGCCTTCTGGTCTCTGCGGCCGGGAGCTAAGTCCTGGCTTCACCTGCTATAGTGATTTACTGAGGGAAAATCCCGCCCCCTACAGGCCATCCGGGGTAGAGTCCAGGACTCGGGGCTCCGCGGAGAATATAGATCTGGGGGTTTGCCTTTCCTAGCCGCAGCAGCGGGGGGGGGGGGGGGGGCACTGGGCAACGGGTGACCTGCACGGGCCGGCTCGACCCCTGCGATGCCGTCTTGCCAGGCATTGGCAGGACCTGGGCTACATGATCCTTTACATCACGGGGCGGCCGGACATGCAGAAGCAGCGGGTGGTGTCGTGGCTGTCCCAGCACAACTTCCCACAGGGCATGATCTTCTTCTCGGACGGGTTGGTGCACGACCCGCTGCGGCAGAAGGCAATCTTCCTCCGCAACCTCGTTCAGGAGGTGAGTGCGGGGGCGGCGGAGCTACGGGATGGTGGTGGGCTCCAGCCACACCCAGACAGAGGCGGGGGCTCCGCCCCCCGGCCTCACTGGCCCGGGGAG